GGCATCGATGCCCCATGACCTGAACGAGCTTGCGGAGACACAGCTGCAGCACGGCCAGAAACGCTACTCAGCGAAATATGTGTATGTGTATATATATATATGTATATATATATATATGTATATATATATATCGGTACATATATTGACTTAAAGACATACACACATAATACTTCCTTTATCTGTAACTGAAGATGTGGTATCGTTAATTGCGAGCGGCCAGCCTACATGGTGGTTCACGGCCCCTTCAGTATGCCAAGTCCGTGAATACGACATGGTCTTGCGCCAGACAGGGGTTTTTACATGGTTTTGTGTTGGACGGCGGCGTTTGCTAGACAGTGCTGTTTGTCTTAGGTCAGGCCAGGCAAGGCTTTCTGCTCAGGGATTTCTGCCGGACAGGGATTGTGAGAGTTGTCATTTTCAACGGTTCGGCGGGGCTTGGTGTATGTTTGGCTCGGTTTGCAAACATACACATGTCGTGCCAAAACCCACTGCGGACTTAAACCAACACTATGGTGGAGTTGGAATATGCGCGCATACACATGCGCATGTCCAGAAATGCACAAAACATTGGCGCGTGCATGCAGGCAAGCGCGGACTTACGCTGGGAGTTATCCACATGGTACTGCAGGGTCAAAACTAAAACTACAGTTCAGCTGTTCGTTCTCTGCGGCTTCGGGTCGTTTGGCCCAGGGTTTCGTTCGGAGTTCCAGATGGAGGTTATAAACAAGTTGAGAAGTTAGAGCTTAGGGGGGTAGAAAGAAGGCTTATGCCTTTTAGCTCTGGCATCGGCATGCTCGAAAGAGTGGTCTTCGTGAAATCATGATTGAAATCAAGGAATAGGGAGTTGATATACCTCTGGACGAACTGCGGCCTTGTTTGAATTCCACGGAGTGCTGAGAAAACTTCAGAAAGTTTTTTCAAACAGCAATCCACCATCCGCAATCAAAAGCAATCCAAAACTGGCTCGGGCTTCAGCCCAAACTGCGAATGGGAAACTCAGGTCCCAAGCAGAGCCTAAGGCCTTGGGTAAGTCTCGGAAATCCTCTGCGCCTGAAGACGTCAATGTTTAAACCCGAAACCCTCTCCAAGCTTTGCTCTTGTCCCTGGACCCTGAAGCCATGAAGCTCTAAGGCCCTCAATGCCTCAACCCTCAACCACAAAGTCCAAACACCTCCTGAAGCTCTGAAGCCTCGGCAGGAATTCTCATCTCTTCCAGCAGCTTGTAAACCATCTGCTGGATCCGGGAGCCTTGCCCTGGCAATGAGGGCTCTGGGCTCTGGGAGTCAGCCTTCTGAGTGCTTGTTTTCTCGGTTGGGGTGGTCTTCATGGTAACTACATTGGGTTGCAGAGGTTAGCGCTCTCCAGACTCAGGACTGGAGTCTTCGCTGTGCTTGCATGCTCGGTTGCTGCCGGGATCTTCCCGGACCGGAGCAGCTCAAAGCTTACGTTTAAGTGATGAAACACAACGCTATGAAGCCCTTCGAGACTCGATCGATAAAGCAGCAAATCCCCCAAACCATGCAGGCCGCAAGCCGATTCCGCCGTCCCGTAAAGCAACCCTGAATACCTCGGAAGCAACACCCAACAACCATGAAGAATAAACAAGCCCTCAAGCCCACACCCGAGCCCTCAAACTAGGTCGAGAGCCCAGAGAAGAATCGTGGAACGCAATTTGCCGAGATGCCATCCGGTCGGGAGCGTCCCCAGCCCGTCACGATGATGCACTCCTAGCTTGAGGGTGTCAGGATCCGGGTGCACTTTAGGGCTTATTTTGTTTTAGGGCCTCTGTGGTATTGTCCAAAGAGAGTATTGTTGAAGGCCGGCAAAGGTTGCTGCACTTTCCTTTTGATTCAGGGTGTAGGATTTGAGGCGCAGGACTCTCGGCTGCAAGGAGCATGCTACAGCAGGGACCAAAAGACCCTCGTGCTTCATGCCCTCAAGCCCCAAAACCGAAGCACTCGCCCCAACCCCGACATTCCCTTCCCCTACCAGATCTGTCAAGCTCAGCCCTTATGCGCGAAGATTCCAGAAATTACGGGTCGCCGCATGGATTTCAGGATGCCACAAATGTAGGTCTTTGTCGAAACGGGAAGTCCTGGTTTGAGGCCGCAAGCTTTTGCAGCCTCTCGCAGCACAGCCGTGCAATGCGCGAAACGGTTTATGCCTTGCTCTGCGCACAGCCATAGCAGTTTCCGGTCTCAGGGTTTCGGGCTTGGTGCGTGGGGTTCATGATCTTTCAGTCAAGTCATCGTGGCTTCTCAGCATTTTGTCCTGTGCAGCCTCCTGAAGGCTGTGAGCTATGCCAGCTATGCTGGAGCCTAACAGGCGGCAGCTGAGATGAGTCTCCAAACAAATCCTTAAGGATTTGGTCCCTGAACCCGGAGGAAGCGAACACACAAGCCTCTGCAGCCACCAGCACACAGCCGCCGCGGCAGCTCCAACAGACAGCCCGTGGAGGTCCAGGGTGCGACAGCCCTGGCTATCATGAAGTGCATGAAGAGGAGAGGCCTTCATAGTCCAGCTGGGCTTCGCACGACATTTGTTCAGCCCCTCTTAGATTGCCAAAGGCTTCAGCTGGGCTTGAGACAAGGTCTCACAACCTGATAACACACAAGTCGTCCAGCAACAGTCACTGGAGTCGTAAAATCCGCAAGTCTGAACCCTAGGCCCTTGGAAATCCTTGGCACCACCAAACTATGAGGCCCAACTTGCGGTGAGTTGCCGGGGACAAGGAAACCCAGGTGTTCGTCTCGCCTGTGCCATCTCGGCAAACTGCGGAAAAATCCGGCGGTCGACTGCCTGGTGAAAGGTTGTGTATAAGGTCTCAGGTTTGCAGTTTGCAGATGTGGAAGGGCTTGTGTGTGTTGAGGGCTTGTGTGGTGAGATGTGATATGGTGCTCCACTGGTTCCACTTTTCTGCCAGCTGTCGTCTCGGCAAAAGAATTGAGAATCGAGAATTCCGGATGCAAGTCAACGGATGACCGAAATCCCACGAACAGAAGCCCCTAAGATGCTTATGCCCCATGCGCCCCAGTACCATCTTGTTGGCCTAAATCCCTGAACCCCATCTCCGACCTCTTGGAACAATGCCTGCGCGAGGTCTATGCTCGGAATGAAATCCAATGCTGCGCAATACGCCGAGTGAGCGTCCGGGCCTGGCTAGGGTTGGTAGGGATGAAGGTTGGTCCAGAGCCTATACGATTCATAGAGTTTTGCTGTCGGCGTTGAATGGTGATCCAAAGGCTCTGAAGATGTGTCGAAATATGGGTGCCTGAACAGTTCAGCAACAGGGTTCTGACACACGCTACGCTAGCATGCTCCGGGATGAACCAGGAACAAGGTGTGCAAGTCCTGTGCAAAACCATTTTTTGGCATCGGGTCACGTCGGGTGATGCAAAAAACAGAATTAGAGACTGGAAACTCTGATCGCAGAAACTCGCTTGGAGATTGTTGTGGGACTGAAAGGTTTCAGGCTGAACGGCGCCACAATACTATACTCAATCGTGGATTTCTTTTCGGCCTTTTGGGCCTGTCGGGCCATTGCAATTCACGGCCTCTCCTCTTGATTACGCACGATTGCCAGAATCTAGAAGATCCCGGCGCCGTCTTGACCCAGGCCCTAAACCCTGAACGCCCAAGTCCAAACCCTCCAGACCACCAGCTTGACCCACAAAGACTCCTCGAAGACTGAATCATCGCATTAACATGACAGCAAAAGCCAACGAGACCCCAAAAGCCTACGGCCCTGTACCCTCAAGCGAACCTTGCCATTCTGGCAGATCGAGCTTCGCCATCTCAGACAGGAGCCACACCGCCTTCCGTTGAAGTTTCAGAGTGTGCGAATGGGGCTAGAGTCCGTGACTTCGGGCTGCAGGTCTCAGGATGGGAGGCTCGACTTCATCATCAAAGACTTTGTGAGGCTGCATCTTCCGGTGGCTATTCTGTGGCCACGCGTATCAGACATAGTTCAGCCGTAGCAGTAGCAATACCAGTACCAGTACCAGCACCAGTGCCAGCAGCAGCAGCAGCAGCAGCAGCGCTAGCGACAGCAATAGTAACACTAGCCGTAGCAGCAGCAGTAGCAGCAGCAGTAACCGTAGCCGTAGTCGCAGCTCCTCAGCGGTGGTAGTAGCAGCAGCAGCAGTAGTAGTGGTGGTGGTCGTGGAGGTGGTGGTGGTGGTGGTGGTGGTGGTGGTGGTCGTGGTGGTGGTGGTGGTGGTCGTGGTGGTCGTGGTGGTGGTGGTCGTGGTGGTGGTGGTCGTGGTGGTGGTGGTCGTGGTGGTGGTGGTCGCGGTGGTGGTGGTCGTGGTGGTGGTGGTCGTGGTGGTGGTGGTCGTGGTGGTGGTGGTGGTG